GGGGGGTGGGCGGGGTGGGGGGGGGGGGGGGGGGGGGGGGGGAAATTGTGGGATATCATTAAAAGATGAAAAACAAGAAAAATAAAAGAGAATTCTGTAAAAAATAAATAAATAAACAAATACACCCAGTGGCATACATCTACTTCATCCTTGGTCAAGCCAAGAGAATCGCAATGAGATTTTGCATCCATGGCAGTCTTCTTGGTTGCGTGAAAAGACCTCAGGCACCTCCCTTCACAACTGCATTAGGTCAAACAGTCTTCATACATAAAGTTTATTATATATATTGAGAATTACAGAACCATATCTCTTGAATTTGAGATTATTTATTCATTTAGCTCTTAGAGCCAACCGTATCTTTTGTATCTGTAACAACACTATTCAAAGACGCTTGAAAACTACAATTCATAACTATCGTTCATACCATCTCTACTAAAGAAGGTGAAAATCTACAATGTAGAAATCTAAATGATAATCCAAAATATGAGTCACAAAGAAAAAAATACTAGTATAAAATACAATGATTAACCAATAGAAAGAACATACCACAATAGATCACCACCCTCATCACAAAAGGCACAGAGATCATCGTAGATATCATGACTTTCACTGGATTTATCTTCTTCTGCAACATCAACAATATCATCCACCATATCAACAACAAACCCAGACGCTGCTTTGGATTCGAAGTCCTGAAGAATAGATGACTTCATTTGTTAATACACAATTTCCCAAAAAAAAAAAAAAAAAAAAAATTAAGAAGGAAAAAAAGAACATGTAAAGGAAAGTGAGTGCAAGATAACCAAAAATAGTACCAGAATATCACCTCATCACGTAGTTTCCACTTCTTAGGATTCTTGTTGAAAAATTGGACTAAATACTGCTCAAATCACAAATTAAAATGTAATTTTAAATGCATGATTAGAGAGATAAAGGGAAAGTGAGCACAAGATAATTGAAAATAGTACAAGAATATAACCTCATCCCGTAGTTTCCTCTTCTTAGGATTCTTGTTGAGAAAGTGGAATAAAAACTGCTCAAATCACAAATTAAAATGTAATTTAATTGCATGATTAGAGAGATAACACCCTAAAATAATTGAAAAAAAAGTAACTCCATATTTCCACATCAAAAAAGAAAAAATAATTCAGAAAGGCTCACGCATTTACACAAAACCCAATAGTGAAATTTATACTGACCTTAGACTTTGCTAAGGCTTCATTCCTTGTAAAAGCTTCAGTAATTAAACAAGAGTGATCTACTAGCTCACTCTCAAAAGCCTTGACCTCATGCAAACTGTAAATTGAATAAAAATGTGAATTTACACCAACAGAAATAAAACAAGCAAGAAATAAGCGAGATCAAATATGAATAGAAGTAAAAATATACCTGAAAAGTTTTAACATGTGACTCCACAAAGATTTCCCAGATATTTCAGGATGTCTCATTACAAAATGGAGACAGTGCACTGTCATCAAGATTGACCTAACTATGCCCTCAAAGCTCTTCCTGGGCTTCAGAAGCTTAATCCAACAATTCTCCTTCGAGAGCACCGAAATCTCGGGCTTCGCATTGGAGAGATCAAACTTCCAAGCTATGACATGCTTATATATTTTCTGAAGCCCATTATCAGCATTCCCATACAGAAAAATCTGAACATTTTCGTCACCAATTCTCTCACTCTCACTCCATTGAATTGGCAAAACAGAAAATGAAACAGGCTCATCATTTCCATCCTCAAAATGGTAATTTGAAACAGATAGTGGCCGAGCCTTAGCCTCGTCATCTGAAGATTCCATACCTTCCTTCAATCCAAAACTACCCAGAAGACAGTCCTGAACTGAAAATATCACACACCCAAAAAGTAAATAAATAAATCACTGGTTTTGTTTTTCATGATCATTTATACTTGTTTCTTCCTACAGAAAAGTATTCCTTTCTTTGCTTGACAAAGTGCAAACAGTAAAAACTTTTTTCAATGTTTCCCATTATCCTATATTGATTAATCCAGTTTACTAAGCAACCGCACAAGTTATAACAAACCCAGTTTCTATTCTTAGCGACAAAAATGCAAAAGAAAAAGAAAAAGAAAAAAACCCAGTTTCTATACTGCCCGATGAACATAGGACAGCAATCCAAACAAAACTAATTTGGAAAAAATTTACTCCAAAATGAGAGTTTCATTAACAAAAAAAAATTAACAAAACAAGTAGCAAGGTGGACTAAAAGTAACCAAAGAAATTAACAAAAAAAAAAAAAAAAAGCCGAATCGCTGGAAAGGGTCAAAAAGAAAAGACCTGAATTGCTTTTCTCAAGTCTTGTTCATTTATGCTTTTTTCTTCCTACAGAAAAGTATTCCTTTCTTTGCTTAACAAACTGCAAACAGTAAAAACTTTTTTCAATGTTTCCCATCATCCTATATTGTTTAATCCAGTTTACTAAGCAACCGAACAAGTTATAACAAACCCAGTTTCTATTCTTAGCGACAAAAAAGAAAAAGAAAAAGAAAGAGAAAAAGAAAAAGAAAAAGAAAAAAAACCCAGTTTCTATACTGCCCGATAAACAGAGGACAGCAATCCAAACAGAACTAATTTGGATAAAATTTACTCAATAATGAGAGTTTCATTAACTAATTTAAAAAGCGCGCGCGCATATATATATATATATAACAAATCAGTCAGCAAAACAAGTAGCAAGGTGGACTAAAAGTACCCAAAGAAATTGACAAAAAGAAAAAAAGTCGAATCGCTGGAAAGGGTCAAAAAGAAAAGACCTGAATTGCTTTTCTTCTCAAGTCTTGTTCGTTTGAGAAAGTCGAAAGCGCCGAGAGTAGAGTGAGACTGAGAGAGAGAAGAGCTCTCTTTTTTTTTTTTTTTTTTTTTTTTTTTTTTCTTTTTTTTTTTTTTTTTTTTTTTTTTTTTGCTTTCAATTTTTGCTTTTCGTTTGTTTTCAGTTTTCACGCTTCCGAAACTTGCCTTTTTATAGGCTACGGACTAGAAGTGTAACTAGTGTGTAAAACTGACGTGGCTGCCACATAAACAATAATGTAGGTATAATTGGAAAATCCTATGAAAAGCCCTTTTCATCCGTGATTTCAGATTTTCACTGCATAAATCCCCGTTTAGATGAGTAGCAATTGCTCAAATCCTAAGTAGCTAAACGGGAACTTCTCCCCGTTAGAGATAATGAGTGGGTCCCATTAGGTGAACCCTCGTAGGTCTTACTAAGTGGGTTAGGTGGGGGCCGGCACGGCCTGAGCCGTGCCTAGTCGTGTCAGGGCCGGGCCTAAGGAGAAACCCTTAGGCCCGGCACTGGCCCTCAGCCCTAGTCCATAAGGGCCAGGGCCGGGGCTGGGCCTGGACCCAGGTCCTTCACGGGCCGGCCCTAACCCATTTAAATTTTTTATAATATTTAATTAAAAAAATAAAATATATCATATACCTCTAAAAGATGTGATTTTATTAAATTGATATAGTATGAATAAGTACACATAAATGACCGTCTCGTTAAAAATCTTGCCAAGTAAAACCCGTAGGGAGATCGGGACAAAACCTTAGTGAAGGAAAAAAGAGTGCAGTAATCTATTATAAGTAAATTACAAAACCTAAGTGCTTCTAGAGGATTCTGTTATTTCTAAGTTAGAAAAATAATCTTGAGTCGAATCATCCGTATAGTTTTGTTTTCGTCTTCTGGCATCTTCCCAGTCTTTGATGCACATTAGCCCCTCCAAGATATCCGGATACATTATGCTTCTCTTCTCGTCAAGAATTTGGCTATTTGCACTAAATGCTTGCTCCGATGCTACCGTTAACACTAGAATTGTCAGAATGTCGCGGGCTATTATGGACAGTGTTGGAAAACGATTGGTCTTGCTCCAACACCATTGTTGGGCAACCGGACACTAGAGTTTTCTAACATTTTCTTAGCATCAGTAATAGTTAGTAGCATATCAATAAATTTTCTACTGTAGTATTCATCAAAGATTCAGTCTCAACTACTCCGCACCTAGGATCTAAAGTGATTGCTAATGCATATAACATAGGGCAACCGGATCAAGAAATTTTAAATTTAGCTTCCATTAGCATAACTATAGTTCCAAAAAGTTCAGTATCCCTATAAAAAGAAAATATTTTTGAAATATTAAAGAGTTGATGCAAAGCTAAATGTGCAATAAGATAATAAATTCAAGAAAGTAATTCAGTAGCATTGTAGAAAACTTCTAGAAATTTAAAAAAGTACTCACCAATCTTCCTATTTGTATCAAAAATTAAAAGCTGATCGTTCTTACTGTTCACATACGTTGTGATGAGCTGTTCATACGGAAGTGCAGCCTTTAACATTAAATAGGTGGAGTTCCACCTATGTCTCACATCAGTTGGGAACTTTCTTGGGCGCATCTGACTGTTCCTGTAATATTGTTTGAATTCTTAGAGCCGAGCTTCAGAACTAGATATGAAGGATAAAGATTCTCTAATATTTATTAGATTAGAGGAAATATATTCAATTCTTGCTTGAACTACTAAATTTATTATGTGACACGTACATCGTTGATGAAAAATTTCTCCCCCAAAAGCTGGTTTCAAACTACGTTTAAACATGTTAATTGCTGCTGTGTTAACTGACACATTATCAAAAGTAATAGTTAAAACTTTATCTTTTATCCCATAAAACCCAAATATATCAATTATTATTTCAAAAATAGCATTTGCGTTATCAGGAAATGGACATAAACAAAAACCTATTATTCTCTTTTGTAAAACTCATTCATTGTCAACATAATGCGCCGTGACACATAAATATCCAATTTTATTACACCCCTCCCAAAGATCAAAAGTACAAGATATAGTAGCATTAAAAGACTTAAAATTATCAACTAGAGATTGTTGTTGGGAATAGTGTCCTAGAAGCATGAGATGTAATAGGATATTTATTATTTAATTAATAAAAGAGTTTATTCATCATTTTATGTGCATATATTTATGAATATTTTATAAATATCAAATGAAAATTCTGTGATTGTTTATGTAACCTTAAACACAGTATATAAGTGTTATATACGAGAGGATAGTATTTAAGGATAATAATCAAAAACAATGTTCATAATGAATTTAACTAAAGTTCAGAATCTTTAATTAAAACATTATAATACATGTCATTCCCATTTAGAATGGAACGGTGTTATCTGCACTGTTAATATGACGAGATATTGAATGAGTGTATTTCGCATAATAAGATTATGTGGAACAAGGACACAGACACAATATGAATTTCTAATAATTTCCGTTAAGCATAGAAATTCTAATTGAGTCTACCGATGGTCATATATAAGATGATCTTAATCCTGAGTTCTTAACAAACTCATATTTATGGATTTATGTCTTTTGATTTACTGGGTGCGGATTCTGAGACCCTGAATCCTATTCCTTGTTGTAACACCTTGAAGAATTAATTGAGATTAATTAAGGTAATTGAGATTATTAGTGTGCCTAATCTGATTTAATTAATTGAGTTTAAATAATTCCAAGGTATTTAAATTATTCACAGTAATTTATTTAA